CAGCTTGGTGGCATTCAAAGCCCAGTGCCCAGAACTGCCTTGCAGTGCCCCTCCAGCTGGAGGCTCCCCTGTGCCCCCATGCACAGTCAGGGGTTGTGTCTGCACTGGGAATTTGGGGGGATCTCAGCCAAAGCAAGGCTGTGGTGGGGTCGGGGAACTGTCCAGCACAAAATTCCCTTGGAGCCCCTGCAGAGGCCCCGTCTGCCCCTCCTGCCAGTGAGGGGAGCTGCCAGGGAGGGGCCCAGAATGGAGCCAGGGCAAGGGCAGGACTGAGACCCCCAGCCGCAGGCAGGGGTGAGGAGGGGGCAGCTGCAGGTGGCCCACATGGGCACCACACCACTGGTGCTTCTCACCAGCACTGCTCTGCCTCCTGCCAGGGCAGAGCAGCAGGAAGTTTGTCCAGATACTTTTGGATTATTTTGGGTTTTCCTTCCTCTAAACCACGGTGTGAGTTTTGGGCTGAGTGGGTGTTTACAGCACCCCCGTGCTGCTGAGCTGCTGTCCCTGTTCCCCCAGCTACCCAGCCCAGTGTCCTTCATCAGGCCCTGAATAACCTGGCTGGGCTGGGGCTTGGGGGGCTGCAGGATGTCTCTGGAGGCTTGTTCTGCTGTGGTGGTCCTAAGCCTGAATCTGCCAGGGACACCCACAGGGTCGGGAGCCTCTCTGGGGACAGGGTGAACAGTGGGGGACAAAGCAGAACCTCGTTCTTTCCTGCAGAACCCTGGGCTGCCAGCCCCCACCCCTGACCCTAATGTGCCCTCCCAGTCTGGGCCTGGAGTCCTGATCCTGTCCCGTTAGGGGCTCTCTGGGAGGGCCAAACAGAAAGCAGGCTCTGCTGCACACAACCTCAGCTGGAGCTGAAGCCTGCTGGGTGTGTCTGTCCTGGCTCCTGCAGCCACAACCCCACCCCCCGTGGGTCTGGTCCTGAGGACCCAACCCCTCTCTCAGCCCGAGTGCTGCCCCCCGTGCTGCTGGTAAAGCTCCAGGAGGTCTTCAGGGTCCGCCAGGGCCCGTGGGTGCCTCTGGCTGGGCCAGGGGGAGGCTCTGCCCCCAGATTCCTTCTCCCAGTTCCTTCATCCAAGGTGGGAAATCACCTGGACTCCCCATGAAACCTCGTTTCAGCTGGGAGATACTCCCAGCCCACCCTGCCTCAGTTTCCCCACCCACCACGATCTCAAAGCAGCTCTTGGGCTGCCCTGCTCCCCCTGGGGTGTCCCCTGAGCAGCCCTGCTGTCCCCACAGATCTTCTGGGAGGATGGGATCATGTTGGGGTACTGGGACCCCAGGAGCTCAGCCCTTGACTGTGTCCTCAGCTCCTTTCAGACGGTGAATGAGACAGTCCTGGACACACTTCCTGCTGACCAGGTGGGGCTGGGGACAGGGATGGGGAGGAGAAGAGGATGGAGATGGGCACCAAGAAAGGCTGGCAATGGGAATAGGGACGGGATTAGGGACAGAGATGGGGTTAGGGACATGGGCAGGGATAGGGATGGGGAGGGGATGGAGACAAGGATGGGGATAGGGACAGGGACAGAGCTCACTTCAAAACATGCTGTGCCAGCAGGGATTCATGTGGCACTGCCTGGTGCTCTCATCCTCCCCGGGGATCTGCTGGGCCCACCACTGCTCATCTGCCTGCTGCTTGTCTGGGGATGGGTGGGCACGGGGATGGGTGGGCACAGGGATGGGCTGGCACAGGGGTGGGCTGGCACGGGGGTGGGCTGGCACAGAGAGTGCAGGCCCCCTGACACTGTGTGTCTGTCACAGGCTGTGTGTTTGCAATGCCAGGCTCCTGGGGCAGCCATGTCTGGCACTGCTGTTTTGTCCCTGTGGCTGTTTTGAACTCCTTCATCTGCACTGGCCTCTCTTGCTATTCCCAGAATGTTTGGGATAAAGAAATGAGGGGGTGGAGGTTTCCTCCTCCTCAGCTTTTTGTTCCTCTTGGTGATTCCCCCTGCCCAGGCCAAAAGCCAAGGTTCTTGTGGGATCCTTGCTGTGGAAGCTGACAGGGCTCTGTGCCCCCTTCACAACTTCCCCAAGCTGGAGCATCCCCAGCTGAGCAAGGTGCTGCCGATTTTGGTGTGCCCCTTCCTCTACAACAACATCCTGATCTTCTACCCATCTAGAGTGGCTCAGGGCAAGGGTCAGGTGCCCCCACCACCCCGGTCCCAGGGGGCTTCCAGAGGGCTCCCTCTGGTTCTCCCCCTCCTCCCACCCTCCTCTGCTGCTGCTGTGACTGTGCCTGGAGTGAAGCTGAGCTCGGCTGCTGCCACCACCTCCTCTTGTACTGCTCACCCTCTTCACATCCCCTGCCCCAGTGCCTTGTGCTGCTCTGGCTGCATCCATGAGCAGCCCCCAGTGTCCCCCCTGCTGCCACGCTCTGTCCCCTGTCCCCAGAGCAGCAGCCGTGGGCGATGGCCTCAGCCTGGCAGGACACAGCCACCGGCTTTCCCACGTCTGTTCTGTGCTGGGCCCCCCTTGCAGGTGGAGAACATCCTCTGTGATGTCTGCGCGTGCCAGGCTTGGCTGTGGGGCCACCTGAGCCCCACAAGAGCCCGAGCACCGTTGGCACTGCCGGGCTGGCCCTTGTGGGCAGCGCTGCCATCATCAGTGCCGTGGCTGTGGCCCTGCCCAGCCCCTGGTGGCTCTGGCTGCTCCCCAGGGATTCCCACTGGGCTGGGCCTGTGACACTGAGTGGGGTCTGGGCTCAGGACCTGGCAGGACGGGTCCTGGCAGCCTCTTTGGGGTGGGCCCTGCTGTCGGGTGTCCTGCGGCGTCCCTCTCCCCGCTCCCTCTGCACCCAGTCCGTGCCTCGGCTCTCCCAGTGCAAACCAGCAGCGATTCCAGGAATTCGGGGTGCCCGCACGGGACCCAGCAGTGTAAGCGTGCATGAGTCACGGTTAATGAGTAATTAAAATAGTTTGTGATGAAATTCCCGGGTAGGCCACGGGGGCCTGGGGTGCATGGAGCAGCCCTGCTGCTCCCCGGTAACCCCATGCTCCGAAGAAACAGCTTTAAATTAAACTGGAATAACGACGGGGCAGCTCTGGGCTCCTCGCTGCTGGGAGCAGGATCTGGGGGTGGGAGCACCTCTCCTCCCTGGAGCCCGGGGGGCAGAGCAGGGAAACCAGGAATCCTCAGCTCGGTGGGGTGGGGTGACACGGAGCACAACCCCTGCAGCCTCCCAGCCACCCACGCCCCAGGCTTGGGCAGGAACTGGCTCTGCCATGTGCATTTATTTCTTTGCAGGGCTAACAGGAAGGGTGGGAGGGTGAAGGTGTAGGGGGCTGAGCGGGTTGGTGGGAGCTCAGCTGGGGCTACACCAGCCCGTAGTAGCGCCGATAAGCCTCCTGCAAGCCGATCTGGTCGGCCAGCTCGTCGCAGTCGGGGTTGAGCTCGCACACCTCGCGCTTGGCCTCCAGCGGGTCCCGCGGGGCTCCCGAGGCGCTGCTGGGGACAAACGGGGCACCCAGGGGGTGTTGGGGGGCTGGGGCTGAGCCAGGAGCCCCCCCGGTCTGGGGCTGGATCCTCACCTGCCATAGCCGTAATTGCGCTTCTGCCTCTGCACCAGCTCGGCACTGGCGCGTCTGGAGACAAAGGCTGCAGGGACAGCCGGGCTCAGGGGGGCTGTGTCCCCTGTCCCCGGGGTCCTGTCCCCCATCCCCGGGGCAGTGGGGCTGGGGTCAGGGGGTCCTGTCCCCTATCCCCTGGGCAGTGGGGCTGGGGTCAGGGGGGTCCTGTTCCCCATCCCCAGGGCAGTGGGGCTGGGGTCAGGGGGCCATGTCCCCCATCCCCGGGGCAGTGGGGCTGGGGTCAGGGGGGTCCTGTCCCCCACCCCCAGGGCAGCCGCGGTCACTCACCTTCGGAGCTGGGCGAGTCCTGGGTGCTGGCAGAGCCATCGGCAGCTGCGAGTGACACGAAGGGGTGGGTGGGCTCACATGGGGTGTCCTGCTTTTCCCTCCCAGGTGGGCTCTGCTCCCACCCCACTCCTGGAGCTCACATCCCTCATTGAGACCCCCCAGTCTGCTGAAGGATGTACCAGTCCCTATCTCCCCGCTGCAGCCCCGTGCCCCCCACCCCAAAGCTCAGCAGTTTTCCCAGTCCCTTTGCTCCCTCCAGGCCCTTCCCAGGGCACAGGATCACCCCCAGTGTCCCCGCCAGCCCTGGATTCCCCCGTACCTCTGCGGCAGAGGCCAAGGGTGAGCAGGGCCAAGAGGGTCAGCAGGACCAGGGACCTCATGGTGCCTCCCTGTGCTGGGCTGAGTGCAGCCCTGGCTCCCTGGGTGCCTTTATAGGGTCCTGTGGCCTTGGCAAGGGGGGGCCTGGCCTCACCAGGGTTATTTCCAGCACATCCGCCACGGCCGGAGCTGCTGGCAGAGGTGGCAATTGTGGTTTGGGATGAACTTGGTCCCCCTGTGCCCAGCCAGAGCCCACAAAGGGAGGGAAAAGTGGCCCCAGGCCAGGGGGGATTTGCTGGTGGGCCCAGCCCTGCCAGGCTGGCAGTGCCCAGTCCCCACTGGAACGGGTGATGGGGCACTGGGGGTTCCTCACTGCGCTCCCCATCACCCAGTGCCCCCTCCCAGCTCCCACTGCTGCACCCCAGAATCATCTGTGACACAGGGAGACTTTCCTGCCAAAACCTTGGGGTTTTCCTCCATGGTTCCTGCTGGCCCACTTCTGGGGGAGCAGCACGTGCTTCTTTTGGGCACTGCCACCCTGTGTCCCCGGGGTAGGGTGAGCAGGTGCCTTGGTCTCTGCACAGCTCCTCCCTGCCACATGCCAGGGGCACATGCTGCGTGGCCAGGGCACCCAGAGCCCTGAAGAACATTCCTCTTTCACATCCTGACCACTTTTTGATCCTGTAAATCCCAGCCCTGTCTTGGGAAGCGGAACTGGAGGCTTTGGGGCAGAGGGCAGACAGAACTGCTGAAGCAGAGCCTTTGTCAGACAAACCCATAAAGTACAGAGTACGTGGGCCAAGAGCACAGCGGGAGCCAAGCTGGGAACAACAGCCCCGGTTTATTGAGATTCCAGCAGAGCCAGGGGAGGCAGAGGGGAAACTCTGCAGCTCTAATTGCTCACAGAGGTTGGGGCGAGGTGGAGCAGCCGCTGCCCCTCCCCAGCTGGGCACAGGGAGAGCCCACGGAGCCTCGGTGGCTGCTGGAGCCAGAAGCTCTCAGTGCTCTGCAGGTGCAGGGGGCTCTCCTCACTCCCTGCCCAGCCCCAGGACAGCCTGTCCATGCTGGAGGCACATGTCACTGGTGGGGCTCTGCCAGGGAGATCCTGGGAGCTCTGGCTTCCCCAGCCCGCAAACAGAAGAGACAGGAACAACTCTGGGTGGGGAAAACCAGTCTGGCTCTAGAAGGTTCCACAGGAAAACATTAAAACGCTGTGCTACAAACCCACAGAGTGGAGGCAGGGCTGTTCCAACCTCTGCACAGATCCCTCAGATACCTCGGGCTGCTGGGAGGGGACCAGGGCTAGAAAATAACTTTGAGAACAGAATGAATGGTAAGAAGGAAATCAGGGCAGCAGCTGCTGCCACATCTGCAACAGGCAGTGGTCTGAACACAGAGACTGAATGAACCTGCAAGCACAGGCAGTACCCTGGCTGTGACCCACTCGTGCTCCTGCTCGTGGGCTCCTCTGGGCACAGCCTGGCCTGGGTTTAAGGCACTGAATTTTGGCTAATGCACAACTAAAACAGCTACAATCCCCCCAAATGTGGCTTTGGAAACTGGAATCAGGCCTGTCACAGCACTGAGTGGAGCAGATGAGAGCACAGACACACTTTGTGACACTCCCCTCTGTCTAGCTGAGTGGGAAACAGGGAATTGCCATCCATTTGCAAAGATCCCAAATTTTTTTTTTTTGTTTGTTTCTCCACCAAATCTGATCAAACTGTGCCAGTCCAGAAGCTGTTTCAGTCCCTCTGCAGTTTCCAGTGGCCTGATGGGCTGATTCTCAGTTTGGGTTCTGCACACACCTTGTCCCATCAGTGCTTTGGGACGATGAACTGTCCCAGCAGAGCCTGTGGGACATCCTGTGGCCTCACTGGGGCTCCTGGAATGTCATGATGAGTTCTCGTTGCTCCTTACTGATTGCCTGGAAGGAACACAACCCACAGAACTCAGCATGATGCTTCTGCCACCCTGCCACACTCAGGGTGGAATGTGTGGCACACACTGCTGTCCCCTGCAGGTGCAGAACACAACCCCCTCACCTCCCCTGGGACCACTCCACATCCCACCCACTGCACAGGGAAAAGCACCTGAGACCTCCAGAGACAATGTCCACACCTAAAGTTTCAGCAGAACTTGGCTGCTGGGGAGGTCCTGGAGAAGTGGAGGGTCTGAAAGTCATTGCAGGCCCCACTGAAGTGGGTGCTGAGAGGAGGATGGGTTGGGCTGGGTTGGGTTGGGTTGGTCTGGTTTGGGTTGATCTGGTTTAGTCTGGTTTGGGTTGGTCTGGGTTGGTCTGGTCTAGTCTGGTTTGGGTTGGTCTGGTCTTGTTTGGGTTGGGTTGGTCTGGTTTGGTTTGGGTTGGTCTGGTTTGGGTTGGTCTGGTTAGGGTTGGTCTGGTTTGGGTTGGGTTGGTCTGGTTTAGTCTGATTTGGGTTGGTCTGGTCTGGTCTGGGTGGGTCGGGTCTGGTTTGGTTTGGTTTGGGTTGGGTTGGTCTGGTCTGGGTTGGGTTGGGTTGGTCTGGTTTGGTTTGGGTTGGTCTGGGTGGGTCTGGTCTGCTTTGGGTTGGTCTGGTCTGCTTTAGTTTGGGTTGGTCTGGTCTGGTCTGGGTGGGTCGGGTGTGTTTTACCTGCCAGGCCTGCTGGCGAGCCTGGATCATCTGCTGCAGCTCTGCAATCCTGCTCCTCCCCGCGAGCACGGACTGGGCCAGGCTGCTGCTGCGCTCCCGCCGCTGGCGCAGCGCCCGGCGCAGGTGGGCACGGTGCTGCAGCAGGGAGGGCACCAGGGCGCCGCGCACGTCCTGCTCCGGGATCCCGCTGGGCCGCCTGCAACGCAGCGATGCAGCACTGCACACCCTGCCCCGCTGCTTTCACACACAGGGGCTTGGGACAGCTGCAAAAGGCAGGCTCACACACAGCAGAACTGAGACTGGAGCCAAGCAGCAGCGCAAGATTGGTCAGCAGGGAAGTTACGTGGGAAGTGGAAAGTAAGGACAAACAGAACAACGGTCTGTGTATTGAGGCTTGGAGAGAATAACCCCTAAGCTAAAGAAAAGTATACCTAGAGAGATGATAGGAAGTTCTGAGCTTAATAATGGAGCTCTGTGCATTGTGTTTTAAGGCTTACAAGCAGGTATTGTATTCAAAATAAGCAAGCTTGTTTTAACCAAAGATATGTGTGCTTATAGTGGTTGGACAGGACCACTGTCAATATGCTTTTGCTTTGTGTGATTGGTCAAAAAACTTTTAAAGTGAGTTGTAACATTGAGTTCTTTGGGTGCTGCCAAGGATGTGAGCTGCTGGCATATTCCCATTGTCCTAACCTTGCAATGAGAGTGATGCTGGAAAATGAACAGCTCGAGATGTGTTCCCCAGCAGTGCTGTCCCATCTGTGGTTTGTACAGACCCCTGGCCAGTGACACTGCCCAGCACTGCTCCCACACAGCTGCTGAACTGCTGCCAGCTGGGATCAGCTCTGTGGCTCCCACAGCTTCCTCTGGCACAGGGAATTGAGCACAGCCAGAGCAGGGACCCCAGAGTGGAGCCCCTGGGAGCTCTTCCCCAAATCTGGCCCTGAGTGGGTGCTTGAACAGGCAGGATGTCATCACCCCCTCAGCACAGGAACACAAAATCTTGTGTTTCTAGTCCCAATCCCCAGTCTGTCTCCCAGTGTCTGCTGAGGCCCCGAGGCAGGGACACAAAGAGCAGGCAGGGGACTCTGCTGTTGGACAGGTGCTGTGCCCAAAACTGCCCATCAGCCCTCTGCATTGTCCCCCCAGCTCAGTGGCAATGACCTCCCTGCACTAAGGAAGTGAATGGAAATGGATCCTGGGCCCAGAGAAGCACAGATTCAACTGATTTTTGTGTGTTTTAGGCCCAGTGACACTGCTGTAAAGATAGAGCAGCTTCCAGACCCTCCCTTGCAGCATGAGGCCAAGAGGACACAGAAGACAGCCCAGGAACTGCCTGCTGCCCTTGCAGAACACGACCCCCAGCCCTGGCCATCCATACCACGCTGGCTCCTCCCGGTCCTTTGCCTCCTCCACCATCTTATCCAGGGAACTGAAGAGTTCCTCCAGATTCCCTTCATTTTTCACCTCCTGGATCTCCTCCTGTGAAGGAAGGACACGAGGTGAACAAACACAGGCACCAGTCTGCTTGTGAGCCTTCGCTGGTCAGGGAATCAGGGGATTGTCTGGGTTCAAAGGGACCACAAAGCACATCTCATTCCACCCTCCACTATCCCAGGTTGCTCCAAGCCCTGTCCAACCTGGCCTTAAATTCTTTCAGGGATCCAGGGGCAGCCACAGCTCCATCCCTTATCCAAAATCCTTCCAGCTTTGTCCTGGATGAAGAGTCTGGAATCCTGGATGATGAACACCCTGGGAATCACCATTCCTGAGGACATTTCAGAGATGTGGCACTTAGGGACATGGTTTAGTGGTGGCCTTGGCCGTGCTGGGGAAATGCTTGGACTGCACAGTCCCAGTGGTGTTTTCCAACCGGAATGATCCTACAGCTTCTTCTGGGGAAGACAGAACTCTGGAGAGCAGCCTCAGCTTTCTGCTTTACATTTAGGAAATGTATTTGCTGCCCTTAATACCAACCTGTAAAGCACTTTTCCACCGGGCTTTGCACTCCCTTTTGGGCACTCCCAACCCCTCTGCAGCCCCCCGGGTCAGTCCCCGCTCACCTTTATGGACGCCTGCAGCTGGGAGATGAACTGATCGTAGATGCTCCTGGTCAGCTGCGGCTTCAGCTTGTAGAAGCAGCGATAGCAGCTGACAAACCTCTGGTAGCTGCAAGGAGGGCAGGATCAGGAGCGGCTCACGGTAGGACCGGGTCAGGGCCAGGCCCAGAGCCGGCTGCGGGGCGGCTCCCGGGGCTCAGGGGTCCCTCCCCGCCCCGCGCGACCCCGCTCCCGCCTCACCTCCCGGCGGCCACCAGCTTCTCCAGGAACATGTCCACCACGATGTTGAACAGCTGGGAGCGCCCCGGTGTCTCCGCCGGGGTCGGGTCCTCTCCGCCATCGGCGCCGCCGCCCTCAGCCCCGCCCGCGCCGCCATCGCCGCCCGCCGCCGCCATGGCCCGGCGCGAGCCGCCGCCGCCGCCGCTCATTGGCTGAGGCGTCGGGCCCCGCCCCCGCCGGCCGCCAGCGCGGGAAGGGAGAGCGGGAAGGGAGAGCGGGAAGGCGGCCGGGGAACGGAGCGCGGGAACGGAGCGCGGGAAGGGAGAGCGGGAAGGGAGAGCGGGAAGGCGGCCGGGGAACGGAGCGCGGGAACGGAACGCGGGAAGGCGGCCGGGGAACGGAACGCGGGAACGGAACGCGGGAAGGCGGCCGGGGAACGGAGCGCGGGGACGGAACGCGGGAAGGCGGCCGGGGAACGGAGCGCGGGGACGGAGCGCGGCTTGTGGCGCTCGGCGGGGTCGCCACACCCGGCCGCTCCCGGTCCGAACCAAACCGCGACAAAAACACCGCGCTAAGAAGCTGCCGCCTCCCGGAGCGGGGCTCCGCCCGGCCCCGAAGCGAAGCAGCGTGACAAACCGTCCTTCTCTCTCCAGTGGAAATGCCCGCCCTGCCCTCCAGCGACTTTTAATGAAATAAAACGAGCAAGCCTGAAGAATCCAAGGAGAAAAGAAGAAGCACAGTTCAGCTCGGTTAGAGAATGAAAAAAGCGACATTTCCCATTAACAGCCAAGCAGGAGCCAGCCCGCGCGCTGGGGGCGGCTCTGGGTCACAGCCGCTTGCAGGCATTCCACGCGCTCCAGCCGGTTCTCCCCGGCTCGCTCACACACCGAGCAGCCACGCGGTTCTCAGGCAGATCACGTCCCTCTCCTAGCCCTAGTCCTAGTCCAAAGGCTAAGGGTGAAACCCTTTTTGTGACACGACAAAAAGCCGCAGCTTCCCCTGGCGTGGAGAGTCGAGTGCTTTTAAACGCAGGCACCAAACTGAAGGTCTCTCGAGTTTATTAGTTGTCAAGAACGTTGCTGGTTACGAGAGGAACATTAAGTTTGACAGTGTCTCCCCACACCGGTGCTGCCGCCCCTCTGTCCGCACACTGGGACTGGCCCTGCTGCACCTGGCAGAGGTTGATGGTTATTGTTCCTGCTAAATTAGTGTTGACATCCTGCTGCCTTGTGATTTGGGGTGCTGTTCTGTTTTTCAGAGCAGAATCTATTATTCGAGCAAGAGCCGACTGGTGTCAACTTTTAAACAACAAACAGGTGACAGGAGCAGGTGCAGAAGGTGCTGCTCCAACAACTCCACCAGTGGCTCCAGCACCCAGTGCCTTTCTGAGCACTGCAAGAAACAAAACTGGGATGAAGAGGCTCTGATGACTCACCTGCAGCCCCAACTGCACCTTAGAATCAAGCCCTGCCCTTAGCAGAGAAACCTCTCCCACCTCAGCAGCAGCTTTAGCACCCTCCATTTCCAGCAGGCGTGGTGGCATGTCCAGTGCCTGCTGGGCAGGGACAACACTGGCACCAAGGGCAGAGCCACACCTGGTGAATCCCCTCAGGAAGAGACAGCCAAGTGGAGCCCAGCAACAGCCACAGGACAGCAGGATCAACACTTCAAATTCCTGGTTATGGCAGAAGGGGAATGGAGGTGGTGCACTCTGTTGTGTGCAGGTGCACCCCAAACCCCCCGGATGTGGCTAACCAGGACGAGCACCACGTGTGGGCTGGCAGCATGAAAGGCAAATCTCAACCACCAAGAGCAGCAGAGTGCAGTCAAACAATCCCCTTCCTCCCTCCCCTCCCCTCCCCAAAAAGCAGCCTCTGGTTTCATCCCCTGAAGTTTTCACCTGGTAAAATACACAGACCGTAGCTCAGGCTTCTGATCCAGCAATTGTGCAAAACATTATCCCTGCCCTTCCCAAACTGGAAGAGCAGAATTTAAACTCGTGAAGTGAACCATCACTTCTTATTCAATATAAACATGCCTGTCAGGTTTGAACTGGATCAAAAGCCAGCACAAGGTTTCTCCTTCCCCACGTCCCATCTAATTGTAGCTCAAAGCCCTTTCAGTTCTCATCCAGCCGCTGGCAGCACCACGATCAAACACTTCCAAACTGCATTTTTGGGCTTAAACTAACTAAGGTGGGAAGTGGCCACAGCCACTCTGAACATGCAGGATTGACACACTGAACGAGGCCACAGGACAACCATTCAGCTCCCCAGAAATCAGAATAAGCTTCCCTAAAATAAAAAAATTAAATTACAACAGATTAAAAACACAGGTTAGGTGTCAAAACTGCCTGGTGTCAAATCAGCTAATTCCAAACAGCCAGCTCAGCTCCTATCAGCCAGTTTGCTGTTTGGAGGATGAGAGACAGGGAACATTTTCCAAGAATGTACAAAACAAGTATGTAGATCTATTCAAAACGCAGGAATCAGGTCTGAAGTGGATCCAGGTTACTCTTGTCTCACATCTTCTAGAAATAAAAGCAGGTAATTGGAGAAAGTCACTTGTCTATTTTCTGCTTCCAGTTTCCCACAGCACAACTGCCACTAGAGACATCCCAGCAGAGGGCCCTGCTGCAGGCCGTGAGACTCCTTGGAAGTTTGGCAAAGATGAAAATAATTTAAAGAGAATAAACTGGCTTTTTGCTTAAGCCAGTAAGTCTTTAATTTAAAAAAAAAGGAATTAATAACTCGCCAGGATGCATTCACACACCTGGAATGGACTGTTCCAGGCAAAGAGCACTGCCAAAGGTCACAGTTGAAGCGAAACCAGCAGCAGACCATTGCATGACACTCAGATCTAAAGAGGTGAAGTGCAGTTGCTTTTGCATCTGCCTTGTGCTGTGAAACCAGCCAGAGACAAAGGCACAGCAGCTGCGTCGCATCCCAGGCTCTCCCCTGCAGCAGTCCAAACTCAGAGAGTTCACAGGAAGGTTCTCCTCCCCCAGCTGCCTCTACCAGTGCCTTGAGTCCACCAGCTCTGGGCGCAGGCTCAGCTTCTTCAGCGTTTCATAGCCCACCACGATGACGATGGTGGAAGGAGTGGCCGAGATGATGCGGGCAGAGAGGCCTTTAGTCAGCCCCCAGGGACCTTCCTCTGCAATGAGCTGTTTGAAGGTGAGAATGATGGAGCTCTTGCCTTCCACCTGCAACGCCAGAACAAATATTGACTGAGCTGCCAGACTCCATGCTGAGCTGCTCTGGGGCTCTGCTGCGACTGAACACTCTGGAGACAACAGATCAGCCAGTCCAACAGCCTTGATCTGGTCTCCAGAACTCCCTGAGGAGGGGAGCAAAAAAAGCACAAAGGAGGCAGCTTCCTTCCAGCTTTCCTTAGGAGGAGGCAGCAGGAAGCAGCACCTCTCCCTTTCTGAAGGAAAAGCCTGTCTGAGCAGGCCAGGCTGGCACTGCCAACAGAACAAAGAGCCTGGGCTCCTCTTGCTAATGCTGAGGGCCAATTAAGCAGCTGCTACTGAGGATGAAAGGCCCAGGGAGAGCAGGGAAGCAGCTCACCTGAAACCACAGAGATGAGAGAGCCCAGGCTGAACCCCACCCTGCTCTGTGCCAAGCACGCTGAGCTCTTACCTGGACCCGAGCCCTCACCACATCCATGGGGTTGGTGAGAGTGGAAGCTGTGGCAGCTGCAAGGGGCCCTGATATTGCCTGCAGGAGGAGGTGGGGACAGTCTTTAGGAGTCAAACTCGAAAGCTGTTCTGGGAACAGGAGAGAGAGGAAAGTTTCAGACCTTCAGAGGCTGCTGATCATTTCCTTAGCTGCACCCCCTAACTCCAGCTGATTTGCAGTGGGCAGAAGCCCTGATTTACAGCCTGCCAGCTCCTCCCACAGAATCTCCAAGTGGTGCTTCCTACACCAACCAGGAAGCTGGCACAGCACAGGGAGCAGGACTCATCACAGTGCTGCCTCCAGGACACTCTCCATGCTTTTGTCCCACAGACTCCCTCAGCTGCCACTCTGGCTCCCAGACCTGTGGGGCAAACTGGACAGGATCAGCTTCCACGTCCCCAAAACAGGGCATGAAAATACCCATCCTCTTTAGACAGTGGAGGAAGCCTGAAGACAAGGCTCCATTGGGAGGTGTTTGCAGAGATTTGTACAGAAAGCTGTCACCACTGGGCACACTGTCCAGGAGATTCCCTGGCATCCCACTGGGGATCCCTCAGGAGAAAAGCACCATGTAGTGCTCATCCCAGATCTCCTCCCTCTGCTCCTGCTGCCTGGCCAATAGGATTTGAATCTCCCACACTTTCATTGGCTGAATTTCGACAGAAGAGTGCTCAAAGGCCCCATTTTTTGGACTATGAGGAAGTCTGGCTGGCAGGAGGGACGGAAACAGCTCTGTTTGAGACCTTGAACACTGACTGGAATCAGGGCCAGCAGTGTCCTTTGAACCCGGGGAGGGTTCAGTGACCCTGGCTGCTGCTCCAGGGACAGAGGACTGGGAAATGCAGCCAGAGCAGATTCATTGACAGCTGGGGCTTATGTTTCCCAGCATCTCAATTTCCACTGAGAAGACAGGGAAAGAGCAAACACCTGGAAGCTGAGAGCTCTGGTCTCTCCATATCAACTGCCTTTTCTCACATGCCCTCCTCTGAGCCCTTTTGGCATGAAAATCTTACAGTCAGTACACTGGGTTTTGGTGCTATAAACTGCTGACATGGAGACTGATGGGAGCACTCCCACAAAGTACAATCCAACATGTCAAGCTGCCACTGCCATTTAAATGCAGCCTGCATGCAGAACAAATGCTTCCTCTAGCTACCAGAGGAAAGCACACAGGACCCTTTGAGACATCTGGATTTTGAAGAACAGGTGACCTCCAAGATGTACTTTAGGCCCAGTACAGCAAAACCCAAACTGCTCATTACCACCACCACCTTTTGGAAGAAATTAGGTAACCAGACTCCTAAAAACCATGGGCAAAGCTGCATGGCAGAAATCTAAAGGATCATCAGAGGTGGAAATAAACCTTAGCTGGCCAATACCTTTAGCCTTTGGAAACATCCCAAGGAGTACAAGAACTGAGCTAGGGAGAAAGAACTTTCTACTGAGTGCAGTTTTCCATCGCAAGACTCAGTGCCAATTTTAAAGTTGCCAAAACTGAAGCAACACCTGAGAGAAATCCAGGGAAGATTTGGCCCTTGTCTCTGCCTGTTGTTTGGTTTTGCCATGAGATTTGTGGCTCTAAAAGTCCCTTTGCCATCTATGAGATTCCTGAGTTCAAATGAACTGAAAGATGAACTATACTTACATGGTGGCTCCAAAACTCTGCCTTCCTCACTCCTGTGGAGAAGGCACTATTTGGGATTAGTGGAAAAGAAAGTTAAAGCAGATGCATAAAGCCCCACTTGCCTGGAGCCATCCAGTTTGAAGTCCTGGAGCACTTGGACCCCTTGTTCTGCATTGAAACACTGCTGCTCTGTTAAAGCTTCCACCCAACACGTACAGAATGCCCACACAACCAGATGCAGCTCCTCAGCTCAGGACAGATTCTGCTCCCACCCCCAGAGAGAAAGCAAATCACTCTGAATCCACAGTGTCAGGAGTCCATCCGAGGGGCTCCTGGCTCTGCTGGGATAGGACACATTTGAAGCCTCCTTTCACTTACCAGCATAGAAGTGGTAGAAGGGCCACCAGACCGCACTGTTGGGAATATAAGTGAGCAGCGAGGCCACATAACCCCGGTAGAAGCCTCTAAAACCGTCGGCCTTGAAAATCTGTACAATGATGTCCTTGGTTTGGCCAAAGACCAGCACACGCTTGCCATCTTGGTTCTGCACCTTGAACCTGCCCATGCTTTCCCCCTTCCTCTGCATCATGAGGTGCTGGGAGATGACATCGATGGGCACCGTGATGCTCTGGGCCACCAGGGAGGCCGAGCCACCGGCCACCAGGGACTTGACAGCGTTGTTGTTGTTGTAGCGCGACACGTACTTGCGAGTGAGCTCGTAGGTCGTGACGTAGCACTGTCCTGAGATCAGGGTGAAGGTGTTCACCAGGAAGCCGCGGTAGAGCCCAGCGGTCCCTTCTGTCCGCAGGATTTTCACGAAGGCGTCGAAGGTCCCGTTGTACAGGCTCTTGCCCTTCTGAACCTGCAGGCGCGTGCGGATGAGCGTGAAGGGGTAAACGCTCACGCGGATCATCATGGTCATGCAAATCCCAAACACGTAGAATTTCCTTTTGTCCAGGTGCTCCCACTCAATGATGGGGATGTTGCGTTTGTCTTCCATGGCTCCTTGGGGTCAGGAAGGAGAGGTCCAGATCTCCTTCAAAGGTCCAGAGCAGATCCAGGCCCAGCCTTCCGGGCTTGACCAAGCAGACTGCAAGTGCTGGCACCTGAAATGAGAGACCCCTTGGGTAGAGGACAAAGTCCCACTCGCTACAACCGCCCACATCACCTCAACCCCGGCTGGCTCTCCTCGAGCACACAGCAAGCCCTTGCACAGCATCAGGCAGAGGGATTGTAACCTCCAGAGGCAGGGCCCTACCATGTGCCTGGTGGTGACACCTTCTGATGTCACTGTGGCTGTTGTCTGAGCTCCAGCAGCAGCTCTCACCACAGCCCAGACTGCTCTGTGGAAATGCAAAGCTCCTGTGCTTTCAGAAGCAGATGAGCACCACTCCAGCAGCACACACACCTTCTAATGGGCACGCAAGATCAGGGATGGCCAACGAAAGCAGCTTCTCCCCAGTCATTCCAGGTCTGTCATGCTCCCAGGTGTCAGGACATCACTTTTCAGTTCCAGGATCTGTACAAAGAAGAAAGTGACAAGTCCTTTTGTGCTCCTAAACTCCCTGCATGAATTAAACCCATTTCTTTGGGCACTTTCATTCTTATCTTCCTAAAGCTGGAGGGTGATGTGAAGGTGAAAAGAAGAACAACAATGGGAAAACAAGGCAAGACAGCCATGTAAGAGTCTCCACACTGATGACCAAGGTCCTGGAAAGAAAGTGTTAAATTACAGCCCAGGATCTCTCTGCCGAGCTGCTTGTCAGCTACATGAGCAAAGTTCACCCTCCCTTCCAACACTCCATTGTTGCTCCAGGTCTGATAACCTCCCTTCCACTGCTGGCTGTGCTCAGAGCACCAGGAATGGGGAGGATGAGGAGGGAGGGGCTGGTTCAGCCTCCCCCAGCCCCAATTGCTGCAGCTCATCACCATGTCCTAGCAGGCACCAACTGCTTCTCCACAACCAGGCTCCTGGTACTGTCAGCTGCCGTAATTAGTAAATTAACTTGCTGCACGATTAACCAAGCTTGGGCTAAGGGAACCTACACACAGGGCCAGGCAGCATGAGAAGCACAGCCCAGAGAATCACCCAAAACATGGAGCAGTTCACTGCTGGGAAGGATTTACTTTCACATCAAATTAAAAAAAAAACCTGGGGTGTCTGGGTGGCTGAACTTTGGGAAAGGCTCAGCTGCAGCTGGATCATAACTTGTATTCCAGTGGCAGTGTGTGCCCAGGCACGAGCTGAACTGCTGGAGAGCAGAGCTAGAGCAAGAAACAGGAACAGGAACAAGGGAGCCAAAACCTTGATCTGAAAACAGATTCACCAAGTGAATCTCAAAGGGATGGGCAGTCACCACCACACACTGATCTGGGGGCACTTCACATTACCAACGCACAACATGGAGGAGCTCCAAGGGAGAGGGACTTGGGACCAGGGATGGAGTGACAGGACAGGGGAATGGCTTCCCAGGGAGCAAGATCAGGGCTAGATGGGATATTGGGAAGGAACTGCTCCCTGGGAGGGTGGGGAGGCCCTGGCACAGAGCAGCTGTGGCTGCCCCTGGATCCCTGGCAGTGTCCAAGGCCAGGCTGAACAGGGCTTGAAGCAACCTGGGATAGAGGAAGGTGTCCCTGCCCACGGCAGGGGTTGGATGAGATGGCCTTTAAGGTCCTTCCAACCCAAACCAGCCTGGGATTCTTAGGGAAATGTCTCAACACTTCAGAATTCATGAAGAACTCACACGGGCCAGAGACATTCTGTTAGAAACAGTAACAAAAGAACTGGAAGTTGTTTACCTCTGGCACAGAGAAGAAATTGCAGTTATGAAATTAAGGCAGATGAGGGGTGGGTGTCCCATTAAGTGACCATTTCATTGCCCGCTGGCCAACCAAATATTTGCTGAACAGGAGCAAACAGCATTACAGGCTATCACAGCTCCTGCAGGTGGACAGGGGAGTTAAAAACACAAAAAAACCACCTTTTTACCATGGTAAAGACAGCTACACTTCACCCTGGCAGTTAAGGCACAACAAACACCACAGCCTGGATTGCTTTAGTTACAGCCTTACTGGGTTGCTAATACTGACATGATTTGACACAGAAAGCTTCCTGCACAGGAATTATCTGTGCATAGCGCCTATGAAAACATGACTTGGTTAAGAGTCCCACTAGCTTAATATTTCATTAAAAAAATTAAAATAGTCTAGCCAATATGATTCCCTGGTGAAGCCTGAGGGTTTAGTCCATACTCCAAATTCCTCTGCCACCCAGGGATGAAATGGAGCTCCCCACAAAGGAAAGGGAAGGGCTGCCTGCAAAAAACATTCTCATTACTGCAATATGGAAAACAAAACAACAATAATAATAATTTTAAAAAATTCTTGATCTTTATGTAGTTTTATGTGCTCTAATGCTTTGGGTTTAGAATTTAAGCCACAACTTCTTAAGGAAACAGCTGTACTTTTCTGGACTCTCACCAATAACTCCTCTCATTTGGGATCTGAATTAGACAAAGTCACTTTAACCCCATGGCTCTGAGGCACTCAAAGTCCCTCCTGTGTGGAGGAAGGAAGGGATCCTGGCAGCTCCAGGGATGACCAGCATGGCTGCAATTCTTATTCTGCCAACATAAAGAGTTTTGCTCAGAGCATTCAATCTTCCAGAAATTTAGACCACAGCCTAGCTCAGGGATCCCATCACACTCATTAAGCAACTCTTTGATGATCTTTCAAGGAATTTTAGGGATACTGATATAAAAGTAGTGGCTGCATCTCCTCAGAACTGACTTGCCCTCCAAAACAAGGTACAAGCACACCACAGCTCACACATCCTTAAACTCTGGAGCAGCTTCCGTGCCAAAGCCACCCCTCAGTGGTTCCTTCCCACCATGCACAAATGCACAAACCAGCATTTCTTCAACTTCTGCCTGGAAATCCAAGCAGGGGGTGCCAAGCAGGGCATCCCTGCTCCTGCTCTCTCATCTGGGCACAGCCTCAGTCTCCTACACACAGAACTCGGTATGAACCCCCTCAATTCATGTCCTTTAATGCCACCCTGTCAGTCTGGTCCCCAAAGCGCTCGTTGCTGCAGCTGGAGCTAAAGATGATTCTCTGGCAAACACAGGCAGGGCCTTTGTGTGCCCCGGGCAGGGATGGGCCCTGCCCAGCATGCTAATGCCTCAGCAGGGCCTGGGAACCATCTGCAGCCAGCCCGAGGCTGCCTGGCACCTCCAAGAGCACAGAAACACAGAGCAGGCCGAGCTGGACAGAGCCCAGCAGGGGCCAGCTCTGCAGTGAACGGCCCGTTCAGGGATGGAACCTTGACCTTGGTGCTGTCAGCACCACGTCCAGCTCACCCAGCTGAGCTGGGGCACCACGTCCAGCTCACCATGTCCAGCTCACCTCATCCACTCACTGAGCTGAGCTGGGGCACCACGTCCAGCTCACCATGTCCAGCTTACCACGTCCAGCTCACTGAGCTGAGCTGAGGAACCACGTCCAGCTCACCACGTCCAGCTCACCACACTGAGCTGAGGCACCACGTCCAGCTCACCACATCCAGCTCACCACACTGAGCTGAGGCACCAAGTCCAGCTCACCCCATCCAGCTCACCGAGCTAAATCCGCTCCTCACACTCACCCCGCGGTGGGGGGCGATCCAAGCCCTACAGGGAGGCAGTGCTGCTCTAACCCCAGCCCCAGTGACAGCCCGCAGCCCCCGGGCCAGCTGTAAGCGATGTGGCAGCGGCGCTCTGATGGCAGCGCTGCCCTCCCCAGCACCACCCCCGCGGGCAGGAGCCCCCCGCTCCCCCCCGGGTGAAACCCCCACCTCGGATCGCTGGCCACAGCAGCTCGGCCGCGCTCCGGGGCAGAGAACGGCGGCACAGCTCGCTCCGGGATGCGCTCAAGGTCACTGCCGGGCCAGGCGCGTCCCCAGCCCCGCGGCCCCGGTGGCGGGGTGTCCCCACTGTCCCCAAGCCAGCGTTACCGCTGCAGCCCCGCGGTCTCCGGCCGCTTCCCGTCCACCCCGGGGAGGGCTCCGGTCTCTGCCCTGGGGAGGGTCCCTAGACCCTCCAACTCCTTTCCCCGCGGCCGTTCAAGCCCCGTCCCGCCTGCCCCGGGGGTCTCGCCGAGGGGGCTCCGGGCCCTTCCCCGTGGGCCCCGAGACCCTCCGGCCCCTTCTCCCGGGGTCCTTCAAGGCCAAGGGGCCTCACACCAACCCCCTCCCCCACCCAGCTCTACGTGCACCCCCCGCCAGCCGCCCCCTCTCCCCCACCGCCGCCCTCCCGTCCAGCCGCGCAGCCTCCACACCTGCCCGGACCCCGCTCAGCCGCCGGGCGGGGCCGGGCCGTGCCACCCCCGTCAGGCCCTGCTGCACCGCTGCTGGCCCAGGCCAGGCCTCTCCCCGGCCCGCCGCAGGCCCGGCCCCGGCAGCCGCTCACCTCAGGCCGGCGGGACGGAGCCCCGGCGAGCCCCCGGCCGGGCCGGCCCCACCGCCCCATGGCCGCTCCCCGGCCGGAAGTCACCGGCGGCGTCAGCACCCGAGTGCCGCCGCCATCTTGGAACCGGGCAGAGGTCGCACCGGAAGTGCTTAGGCGCTTCCGGCCCGGAGTAAAGAGGGCGGCGGGGGGGGCGCGCCTTAAAGGGACCGCGCCGGATTTCGGCTCTTAAAGGGCCAGTACTCCTCAGCGCCGTGGGCTGGTCCCGCCTGCTGGAGGGGCCGGGGCGCGGCGCGGCCAGGAGGGGGAAACAGCACGGAGGCACCCACAGGAGGGAGTGATGTGCCGGTGTGAGAGAGCTGTCCCTCACTCTCTGCTCTCCCTGCCCCTCGCTGCACATGCAGGCTGCACAGGAGCGTGTCCCTGCACACCCAGGGGCGTCCCTGCACATCCACAAGTGTCCCTGCACACCCAGGGGTGTCCCTGCATGCCCACATGTCCCTGCACACCCAGCATGTGTGTCCCTGCTCACCCACGTGTGTCCCTGCATGCCCACATGTCCCTGCACACCCAATATGTGTGTCCCTGCACACCCACACGTGTCCCTGCACACCCAGGGGTGTCCCTGCACACCCAATATGTGTGTCCCTGCACACCCACACGTGTCCCTGCACACCCAACATGTGTGTCCCTGCACACCCACATGTCCCTGCACACCCACACATGTCCCTGCACACCCAACATGTGTGTCCCTGCACGCCCACACATGTGCACACGCGTTCCCCCGGCCCAGGCCTGGCTCGTTGCCCCCCAGGCCCTCGGGGCTGCTGCACGGACCCAGCAATGCGGGGCCTTGAGTTTTCTTTTTTAATAAAAAAACCCAAGAGCAGGACAAGGTACGGCTGGTTTGGCTTTAAAAAGGCAGATCAAAGACTCTGGGGATGGGCTGGGGGCACTGCCAGGGAGAAGGGGGCAGTGCCGGGGGGGAAACCAGGATGGGATCATGCAGCATGAGGGGCGGCTGGCAGCGCGGGGAGGGTGGCACTGCAGGGGGTGGCACTGCAGGGAGGTGGCAGTGCAGGGAGGTGGCAGTGCAGGGGGGTGGCAGTGCAGGGAGGTGGCAGTGTGAGCGGGTGGCAGTGCAGAGGGGGTGGCAGTGCAGGGGGGTGGCAGTGTGAGCGGGTGGCAGTGCAGGGAGGGTGGCACGGTGGCAGTGCAGGGCGGGTGGCAGTGCAGGGCAGGTGGCACAGTGGCAGTGCAGGGGGGTGGCAGTGCAGGGGGGTGGCAGTGCAGGGAGGGTGGCACGGTGGCAGTGCAGGGGGGTGGCAGTGCAGGGAGGGTGGCACGGTGGCAGTGCAGGGAGGGTGGCAGTGCAGGGCGGGTGCCCACGGGGCTGGCTGATGGAGCCCAGCGAGCACAGCCTGCCCCACGTTGAGGTTTTTATGGAACATGGGTTTTCTTCCTGCTGTCAGCATCCACCGTTTCCAGCCATCCCCACCCCTGTCCTCGCCCCACGGTGACATTTCTCCTCTGTGCCACACCCTCTGCCTGTCCCCACGACCTTCTTTCACCCTCCACTCTCCCCGCATCCCACTGCTTTACCCCATCCCATGCCCGCTGCTCCCAGAGCCCATTCCATCAGAATGTGAGCCTTAGGTTCAACCAGGTGTATTAAATAAAACAAAACAAAAACCCTTTCACAGTCACACCCCTCCCCACACCCCCCCTCCCCAGGGTCTCCCTGACCCACTGGCAGTGTCACGCCGTGTCCCCCGCTGGCACGTGGAGCCGGTTGTTGTCCACGTCGATGTCCCCATCGAGCTGGAGGCAGCAAGCCTGGGAGCCTTCATCCTCCTCCTCCTCCTCGGTGGCAGCTCCGGGTGCCGGGGGCTCTCCGGTGCCCCCATTGAGGGGCACCTTCTCCCGGTGGCGGGACGGGGGGCTGTGGGGCGCGCCGCAGCCCCGCACCTTGCTGCGAGCCCTGAGCTGGTCGCGGCAGGCGAGGAGGGCCAGGCAGGCGGCCATGGCCAGCGTCACGGCCAGCAGCACGGCCACCGTGACAAACTGCGGCCAGTACGAGCGGGGGGCCGAGCCCTGCTCCGCCAGCCCGTCCCCCCCAGAGTCCCCGAGCTGGTAGTGAGCCACGGTCCAGGTGTAGCCATTCTCTGTGGCCTGGCACTTGTAGGTGCCGGCCATTCCCTGCTGCATGATGACCACCAGCGTGTGGTCAGGCTGCAGCACCGTGTGCCCCCGGGCACCGTCGGGCTGCTGCCAGCTGTAGGTGGCCAGGGCAGAGCGGCGGGGGCACGGCAGCTGGACCACGGCGTTCAGCGGGGGGCTGAGCCCTGTGGGTGTGGACAACGGGGTGATGTGGTGCACCCCATGGGCCCCGTCCCACCCCATGTGCCCCATACTCAACCCTGGACAGCAGGACCCTCTGGTGCCCCCCATGGATCCCATCCCAACCCACATGCCCCCATACTCAACCCTGGACAGCAGGATCCTCTGGTGCCCCCCATGGGCCCTGTCCCACCCCACGTGCCCCATACTCAACCCTGGACAGCGGGGTCCTCCGGTGCCCCCCAGGAGCGGGGCATGGCTGCGCTCCTCCCTCGGTGGCACGTGGTGACCGGGCTCCCCTTCTCAATGTCCTGCAGCCACGCACTCCTGCGGCCGGGAGAGCGGGGTCAGCACCCCAGTGACCCCCACACCCCTTCCCGTTCTCGTCCTGCTGCTCACGTGTTCTCGGTGGCGAGGCGGGCGGGCCGGCAGGAGCCCTCCGGGCTGTGCCAGGCGCAGTAGGGGTCCCGTGCCAGCACGCACTCGGCGCAGCTCCGGTGCAGGCTGCAGTTGGCCAGCGGGACCTGCAGGACGCCTCTGGAGTAGCCCACATAGAGGATGCCCTGGGGAGGGAGAGGTGCAGGGCTGAGCCTCCCCCCAGTGCCGGTGTTGGATGGCTGTTGGTGTCTGGGTGGTCACACCTGCCCTACCTTCCCTGGTGCCAGCAGCAGGTTCCTCACTGGCTCTGGCACTGCAAAGAGCTGGATGCTCTCCACGATGTGGGCACCCCCCGACAGCTGCACTGCCTTGTGCAGGAAACCCTGGGCTGTGGGGCAGGGGGACATCACTGAGGCTTTGGAGCCAAGGGGAGGGTGGGATGGGTGACCCTGTGTGCCCCCCATATCACCCCACCTGTGGCCAGGAACATGACACGATAGGGGGTCCCCTGCACGCTGCGAGTCTCGTGCACTGTGATGCGCGTGTAGGTGACATCCGACTTCACCAGGAGAGGCTGCTCCTGGAGGGGTGACACCTTCCCGTCCATCAGGAAATGGTCCTTCATGAAGGAGAGGGCTTTGTCCGAGGAGGCACCCATGGAGCACTGTGGGGGGAGAGAGGGGTCTGTGCTGGTGTGGGAAGCGGAGACACGGGGAAGGGAGGATGTGCTGCACCACCGCGCTGCCCTGGCCAGCACCAGCGGGGTGCAGAGGGACCCTTCTCCTCTCTCATCCCGCCTGCAGTGTGGGCACACAGGGATACACAGAACCCATCTCTTGGGGACCAGCATTGTCCCCTGGCAAGTCCAGCGCCCCTGAGTGGGCAGCACTCACACTGCCAGGCCGGGGACTCATGTCGGGGCCACTGTAGACGGTCCAGCGAGAGCTCTCCTTGTTCAGCTCCTTGTACTTGCCCTCGAAGACCTCCTCCAGATCCTCCTGTCTGTAGGCACAGACGGCGGCGCTGCCCGCCCTGCCCGCCTGCCTGCAGGGAGGGACAGCCAGTGGGCAGCAGCAGGGCACGGGCCCCTGGGCTCCCTCACACCCCTGGGCACTCACCACTGCGAGGTGAACACTGCGTAGAAGTCGGCGCCGCCGTCGTGGCGGGGCAGGGCAAAGGCGTGGTGGATGACGTTGAAGGGGAAGCGGCCAGCCTGGGAGCACTCCAGCTGCGCCTTCAGGAAAGTTGTCCACTTCTTCTGCAGCACCTTGTCCCCCCCTACATCGCTCTGCAGGAAGGTGCTCATTACCAAGGCGACAAGACGCCTCTGTCCCCTGTCACTGTCCCCACCATGATTGCCCATCAGAGTACAACTATCATCCCCATTGTGGTCTCTTGTCATTGTCCCTGTACCATTGTCTCCTGTCACATCATCATCATCATCCCCCATCGCTGTACCCCAACAGCAGCCCACCATCATTCCCTGCTCTCACACCTTACACACACGGGCCACCCGTGGCACCAGGAGCCTCTCAAAGAAGTCGAACTCGTCTGCTGTCTCCTCAAAGAAGAAGTAGACCTTGTCATCCCCAGGGATGCTGAAGGAGGCCACGAAGGCGGCGTCGGCTACAGGCACAGGTGGGTGAGAAGCTGGAGCCGTGGGGGGCTGCAGGCACCTCCCCAGGAACGCTCCCCAGCCCCTTCCCTCTGCTCACCCGAGAGCCAGCGGAGGAAGGCGTCTGTCTTGAGCAGGGTGCGGGTGCCCAGCGAGCGGGAGATGATGGGCTCGTTGCCCTGGAAGTTGTTCATGGTGCCAGCATAGAGCTCTCCGTCTGCCCAGGGACACAGCGGGGGCTGAGCCCTGGTGAGGACCCCCCACCCTCACCCTCCACTCCATCCCAGGCACGGGAGCCCACCTGAGAGGCCACTGGCCCCATACTCACCCACCAGCAGGGCCGTGTAAGTGTGCTGGGGATCGAAGGGGCACTGGCCCTTCCCGTCCAGGAAGGACTGTCCTCTGCCACTGGCCACCAGCGTGAAGTTCTCCAGGTGCTGTGGAAAAGGGGAGAAAAATCAGCCAAAGGACTGAAAACAACCCCAAATCTGTAGGGAATGATTGTGGAATACCTTGCAGACACAGGGTGGCCCATGTCTTCAAGGTGGGTGCAGGGATGATGACAGGGCCTGATGACAGAGGATGCTGGGGGTACCCGGCTCCTGTCACTTTCCCTCATTTTCATTTTGGGGAGTGGCAGTCCCCACCACGTGCTCAGCATGGAGGAAACCGAGGCAGGGACAGAGAGCCTGGAGTCACCTGAGGGGACCCAAAACTGGGTTTTCCCTGCCAGAGGAAGAGTTGCTGGCAGCTGAGTGAGAATCACCAAGGGCTCCTTTAGCAGATGGGACACAAAGATGTCCCTTGGGGCGGGGACACCCAGCACCCCCATCCTGGGGACCCCCATGATGCAGCTCACTTCTGGGGCTGTATTTTGTGGGTCCTCACAGCAACACCACGGCCTGCCCAGAGACCCCCAGCGTGCTGCCCTGGGGGGACACTCACAATGTAGGTGCAGGCGGGGCTGAAGGCGTAGGTCCCACAGGCGTAGAGGTGGGTCTGGTTCAGGGCCACCAGGACTCGGATGAAGTTGAAGCACTCAGTCTGAGGGGGAAAGAGCAGAGTTGGGTGCTGAGCACCCTGGTAGCTTGGTGGGACGCCCTGAGCCCCCAAAGGCCAGCTCACCTCTTGGCTCTTCTTCTTGAAAGCACATTCAGAGGTTTTCTCATCTGTGGGTCCCCACATTATCTGCAAAGGGAATGAAGATGTTCCTGGGCTGTCGAGCCCAGCCCCACGGGGAAACTGCAACACAGCAGAGGCACCTCCCTCTCCCACCTCCCCAAAAGTGGTGCTGCTCACCGAGGCCTTGGCACGGATGCTGCCAGGGGTGCCAACAGCGAGGGCCAGCACCCAGTCGCGTGCCCCCACGTAGAGCTCCTCCTCGCTCTCACCCAGGAGGAAGATGTCATAATGGGAGACGTTGTCCTGGCTGAAGTGGGTGAGGGTCCGCCGGGGGTCCCCTGGCAGGAGCAGAGGGGGTGAGGGGAGCCCAGGGGTCACACACCCCCCCCGCCCCCCCACCATCCCCATGTGCAGATGTGGCAGCAGCTGCCAGTGCAGCTCAGTTTATCTCTCACACAGGAAATGGGGTGCAGTTCTTCCTCTTCAGCTCCCACATCACCATCACCCCTTCACCCTCCAGGTCCCACTTCCCACTGTCCCCTCCAGCTCCTACTGCAAGAGCTGAACATGCCCAAGCTGCAGACCCCCAGAAATGGGGTGCATTTCCCCCCAAGCTGTGCCTGCGATGCTTTGGGGCCATGGCCAAGGGTAGTGCTCTGTTTGGGGGATGCACTGCCCCAGGGTGCCACCCTAGAGGGATTACAAGCCCCCAAGGTGCCAGACTGGGGGGGTCACCAGCCCCTAGGATGCCCTTGGGCACAGCCAGGGACTGCAGATCCTCGTTCATCCCCAGCAGGCACCGAAACTGGGGGATTTTTGCAATTTTGGGCATGGCTGCACGGGGAAAGGGAAGTGACAGCGCAGTCAGGGCTGTAAAGGCACGACCCTGCCCTGGGGCACAGACCCTCCTGCAGCCCGACTGCCACAGCACAGCCCCCCAAGCCCCTGCTTTGCCACCTGCCTTCCAGCTGGACATGCCATGCCCTGGCCCTTCCAGAGGCAGCTTTTCATCCCCCCAGGGTGACCCTGAGCAGACCCGGCTGCCAGGTGGGTGACAAAACCGTTGTAGGACCTGGCCCGTTGGGTGCTGGGGTGCCAAGCAGCCTCATCTACTCTCACCCCCCACCACATCACCGGCTGCCACTGGCGCTGTCCCCAACCCCACCGCGGGTCAGTGATGAAGCAGGGGGGGCTACCATGGGGGGTACCCCAAGGTTCCTGGTGCTGGATGCTCAGCCCTGGGGATGGACACTGTCCCACGCAGCGTACCCCCCTCCCCAGCTGACCCAGCTCTCCCCGGGGCCGTACTCACCGCTGGGGAAGGTGACGCGGGGCAGGGGCTCCGCGCAGAGCAGGGCAGCCGGCACCACCACCCCGCAGAGCAGGCGAAGGGCGGCGGGCATGGTGGGGGGCGGCAGGGGCGCGCCCCACGAGGGTCCCACCACCATCCCTGCGGGGAGGGCGAGGGTGAGGGCACACGCTGCTGGGCTGCGTGTCGCTTCACCCGGCGGAAACAAGACGGGGGAAGCAGCACCCGGCAGAGGGGTGGGGGATGGGGGGGGGGTGCCTCCAGCCCCACGTGTCCCCCCCAGGTTGGGCACGAACTTCCCCCTGTCACACCGGCACTCAGAGAGGTCCCCTCGCCCTGCGGAGCTCCTGCACTGAAATCTCTGCTACAGAGACGTGCCCTCACCCTCTGGGCTCCTGCATCAAAATCTCTGGCACAGACAGAGATGTCCCCTCACTCTCTGGGGCTCCTGCACTAAACTCTCTGGCACAGAGATGTCCCCTCACCCTCTGGGCTCCTGCATCAAAATCTCTGGCACAGAGATGTCCCCTCACCCTCTGGGGCTCCTGCATGGGACCCCTGCACAAAGGTGTCCAGAGGCTCCTGCCTTTGCCCCCAGAGCCTCAGAGCCCCTATCCCCATCAGGGATTCCTCTGCCTGGCTCCATCAGTTATCAGAGCGTCCACAAAATGGGGGGGAACACACACGGGAACCCCCTTTTGCAGCTCTTTCTGCAGCTGATGCCAGAAGCACCGGGCAAAGAGCCAGGTCTGCAGAACCCGATGGTGCCCAGGACCCCTCTGCCGATGGCCACCGTGTCCCCAGCGGGTGACATTACCTCTCTGGCGGGCGAGGACAGAGCCGCTCACCTCCAGCCCTGGCGCGGGGGCACCGGGCAGGTGCCCGAGCCCCGGGGGCTGCGGCCACGGGTCTGCCGTGGGCCCATGCCCCGGAGCCGGCTGCTGCCGAGCTCCCGGCCCGTGCTGGGCTCGCTGCAGCCCGGCCCAGCCCAGCCCAGCCCTGCGTGGCTCCGCCGGGACTGCGGGAACCTGAAAGTCCTGCTGGAAGAGGACGAGCCCCGGCAGGTTGGGGCAGTGGGCGCCTGCGCCCGCCTCCCCTGCCTCGCACCCCCGCACGACAGCAGCGAAGCCTGGTGGAGGCAGCCGGGATGGGAACCGGGGAGCTCTGCTGCTCCAGGAGGTGACTTGGGGGACAAAGGTGTGCCCAGATGGACGGCTTTGCTTGCTGGGGAAATCTTTGGGGTGAGGGACGCAATGGGATTTGTCCTGTGGATTGTGCGGGCCAACAGGAGGCCTGAGCATCATCCCCAAAACCAGCCCCACGGGGACAGGCATCACCCAGAAAACCAGCCCCCAGGGGGGAGCAGTGCTCCCCACAAACAGCCCCAGGGGGCACCCCCACAAACAGCCCCACGGAGCTGAGCTTCACCCCCACAAAACTCCTGCAGCTATTCCAGGAACCCATTTCCCTGGAGATTCCATCCTTAACCCCAGGCTGCTCTGGGATGGTTGTAGGCAAGAAACCCCCCAAAGCCAAAGCCCTGGAGCTGCTCGAAATCAGAGCCACACCTGAGGTACCCCAATATCCCTGTGGACACAGCTGAGGAGCATCCCACCCTGCTGGGGCCTCCTTACCTGCCTCTCCCATGCCCATGGCAGCCCAGCGGGACATGGAGCCCCGGGAGGGCAGCGCTGTGCTCACCACCTTGCTTGGCTGGGACAGAAGCTCCTTGTGAGCACAGAAAGTAGGTTACTCTGCCCCGGATTTCCCACTTGGCAGAGGGCTGCCTGGGGGACGGGGCCGCACGGAGCCTTGGACCGGCCGCATTGTTCTGCCCTGGGCCACAGCCACCGAGGCTGAGGGGGGATGGAAAAGGGAGCAGAGGAGGCTCCAGCCTCGGCGAGGCTGGAGGCTTGACTGGGGCTGTGGTGGGGCTGAGGAAAACCGCCCGTGTTCCCCAGCGTGAGCCAGGGCTGACACAGGAGGTGAGGTGACAGCAGCCTCGAGGCTGCTCCGGCAGCGTGGGAAACTGCAATCCCTTCTCAGCCTCGTCTCTTCTCTGTTTTGGGTCCCCTGGTCACGGTGGTCTGGGGACATGGTGGGGGGGGGGTGTAATTTACAGGGTCCCTGTATAGGATTTGGCACACGGGAGTGGGACCAAGGGTCTCTCAACACTGGGGTGGCTCCGTTTCCCCTGGTGCTTTCAGGCTGACCACAGCTGTGGCTTCATGGGTCTTGCTCCTGCTTGGATCTCCTCCTGGAGGATCCCTCTAAGCCAGGAACATTGTGCTGTCAGCGAACACTCTCCCTGCACAGAGCACAGCACCTGCCACAGGATGGAGCCAGGCCCAGCCCTGGTGCTCAGCAAGGTGGGCTGTGAGGGACACAGGGCAGAGCTGGTAGCACTGATCTGCCAGCTGCTCAGACGTTCCCCGTGCCTCAGTTTCTCACAGCAGAGAAGAGTTTGTTCCTTCCCTGCAGCTGGGCTCCAATGCCCTGCCCATGTCACGTCCCAGGAGCATCCCCATGGTGTGGGGGGTGCAGGAACACTCCCAAACACCACGAGGGGCTGGGGCAGCTCGGCCTGGGGAAGGCCTGAGGTCCAGAGCAGGATCCAGAGCAGGGGGCGTGGGTGGGAGATGGAAGGCAAGGGAGGAAGGGGTGCACTAAGGGCATGGGAGGATGAAGGGGGGGAATTTGGGGGGTGTAGGCAAGAGGAGATGGGAGATGATTGTGTGGATGGGGTTGTTTGACACAAAGGGTGGGGAGAGCTGGGGGGTGCAGGTAAGAGAGAGGACGATGCGCAGGAGGGAGCTGAGGGGTGCAGGAGGTGTGGAGGGGTGCACAGGAGGTAGGAGAAAGGGAGGGGTTTGGAGGAATGTGAAGGCAGGGGGTGCGGGGGGCACCGGGGGGCACCGGGGGTCTCCCCAGGGCCGACACCTCAGCCTCTTTGTTGCTTCTGGCAGCATCAGCGCTGGGGGTCCCCCAAGCCCAACCCCACTATGGCGACTTCCCCCTTCCCGCTCGACCTCCCGTCCCCCGCGGAGCCTCCCCAGACCCCCTGGGGCGCCCCGGCCGCCCCCGGCCCCGGTGGCGGTGCGGCGGTACCGACCTGCGGCGGGCGGGCGGGAGCAGCATCCCCCGGCCCCGCATCCGGCTCACGTCGCCATGGCTACGGCTGCATCTCGGCCGTCCGCGGCCCCCCCGCACCGACAGACCCTGACGGACGGACACGGGGCTGCGGACCCCGAGACCCCCCCGCACGGCACACGAGTGGGCGCTACCTCCCCTTGCCCCACACACCACCGACCCCCACCCCCAGGAGGGGCAGGGACACCCCTCTGCCCCCACGTGTGTTACATCCTCTCCTGACCCGTTCCTGTGCCCCCATAACTGCATGGGGGGTCCTTCATCTCGGCTGAGCTCTCAGCTTTTGGCAACAAGTCCCTGCACCCCCATCTCAACACCTCCAGATCCAGACCCCATCCCTGCATCCCATCCCTGCATCCCATCTCTGCACCCCCACACCCACATCCTATCCCTACATCCCATCTCTGCACCCCCACACCCACACCCCATCCCTGTACCCCCAGACCCCATCCCTGCACCCCCAGACCCCATCTCTACACCCCCAGACCCACACCCCATCCCTGCACCCCCATTCCTGTTTCAGCCCTCCCACTTGACCCATCCCAGGTGGGTGCTGCTGGCTCTGGCTTCCCATGCTTTGTGGATTTGGGGGGTCCCAGGAGGAGGCTTGGGGTGCAGCCGTGGCACCAGACTGTGTGTGTGTCCCTCCCCCCC